TATGAGTAAATTTTATTGCATGATTTCTATAAACACAATAGATTGTTAAAGCACTATAAAAATATAAATAATAATTTAGTCTCACAAGGATCCTATTATACATTTGTAGAGATCATCTGTTATTACTCCTTTCATTTAACTAATATTTATTGAGTATTTATTATGTGTGAAGTGTTATAGAAATGCACAAGAAAAATCAGAAACAATTTCTGTCCTCCGGGTTACTCTCTCAAAGAAATGACACAAATATTAAACTTGAAGGAAAAGTGATATGTCAGCTGAAAGATGTTTAGAACTGGGAGTGATATCTTTGAGCTGAAAGGACAGGTTTTTATGTAAGTCTTATAGGATGACTTTCATTCAGTAGTACTGACTGGCAAAGACAACTCTGGTAGAGGAAATGGAATGAAACAATTATGGAAAGTGGAAAATGAGGATTTGTTAGAATGTGCATGCAGTAACGCAAAAATCTCCTATGTGAAGTTTTAGTCTTGTCTCTCTTTAATCAGTTATCGACATTACAATTAGATAATGCTAAAGCATAGATTTTATTATGTCATTTTCCTGCTTAAAAATCCTTCTTGGTTTCTACTCCATTTTAGATCAACTCTAATCTCTTTAACATGGTGAGAAGGACCCACACATTTTCCAGCCTTTTAGTCCCTAACTCTCTCCTCTCCCCCTAGGATTTTGAGCAGGTTCTTTCCACTAATTCTGACTTATTCTTCAGTTCTCAATTTAGAAAGGAACTTTTTACAGTAAACGTTCTCTTTGTTGTAAAGATTAGGTTAAAAGTTTTACCTGATTAGGTTAAGAGTTCCTTGCATTGAGGACTTCTATTTTAATTACCAGTTTTCTTGTCTGTTTGCTACACTGGTCTGAAAATTCCATAGAAGCAAAATATTTTTCTTGTGACATTTGAATTCTCAAAGTCTAGCAGAGGAGTGGACATACAGTAAACACTAAAATTATGCTTGTCGAATGAATGAATGAGTAAATAAATGAATGGAATAAATAGAAGAATAAATGGAGAAATAATGGCTCTCTCTCTCTGGTCAGCATTTGCCTTTTTTTAGATTTATTAATGTTTATTGTCTAAACATTTATTGAGGTGAATTATGGAAGAAATACAAGTTTTTCAAATCAATGTTAACAAAATTCAAATTTGGATTGCAGGTGAAAGAAGGACTAGAATTTTTTTTTTCCAAAATATACTCATATGCCACTTGTGTCAAAATTAAAGATGTGGTTGCTTAAAATGTATATATATTTCTGAGCCAATTTAACCTACTGAATCAGAATATCCAGAGTTTCTAGCAATATCACAGTTGAGAAATGAAAAAAGAAGCTTGGATATGGACACACTATTAAAAAGTCAGACCTGTAGAAGGATGTCAGTAATGTATTCAAAGTAAAAAAAAAAAAAAAAAAAGTTACAAAATAATTGGTGTAGCAATATCCTATTTCTATAAAATATAGGAAAACTCTATACATACATGAATATTTATGTATATATTCAAATTTTTGATACTTGTGTGAGCACAAAGATAAACATGAAAGAATAAACATAAAACATTAATATTGAGTACTTTGAAGGTAAAGAAGGGAGATTACTGACTTTTTCTTTATAGATTTTGTATTGTCTATTGTTATAATAAATATATAGCATTAAAATTTTAAATTAAAAAGTCTACTAAGAAGTGTTATTTAATTTCTTACAAATGCATCTTTTTTCCCCTTAAAGTAGGGTTGTTATATCCCTAAAAGGAAGATTGTTGGATAAAAAAAACATATGCAATATTTTAGATAAGTTAAAATTTACTCATTATTTACCTGTAATTAACATTTAACTAGGTGTGTTATTTTTTGATTTGCTAAATCTGGCAACTTTATATTAATAGCTAATCTCATAATGTGGAATTCATGAAATTAATGCTTTTTCCACACACCTCTATTTGAAGGAAGGTGGTCCCAGCTGGCAGATTCTCTTCAACGACAACAGTATATGTTGAGTTGGTGAACACAGGACTGTTATCATCAATATCCAAAACCTTGATGGCCAGTGTTATAGTTGAATGACGAGGGTGTACTGCTCCATCGGTTGCCACAACAACAAGTTCATAGTAGTCCCTGACTTCTCTGTTAAGCTTCACGGCTGTGTAAATGCTCCCATTGGATGTGATGCGAAAAAGATTATTAAAATTACCCAAACTGTAGTGCACTTGGCCATTTATTCCAGCATCAGGGTCAGTTGCCTAAATAAAATTAAAAACAAAGAAATTCATATAGTATGTTTTGTTATGCTTTTTCCACATTACATTATGTTATGTTGCCCTGCCAGAAGAGAATAGTTAACAAATCAGAGCTTATTTCTAACTGAATATTCTTTTTTCTCTAAAGAGAAAATTTAAAAGATTTTTATGAGAGTGAAATGAAAAAGTCTAGAAGACGAAAAGAAATATAGTTTAATTAATATCTTCATTCAAAATGAATATAATTTATAAATCGATACCATTAACAATAACAATATTATGACAGAAAACTCATAAAAACTGAATTTTCCTGGATCATCATTTCTTTAATAGATTGTGATTTTTAAAACAAGAACAACGTATTTATTTCATAAGTAAATCTACTAAGTGATAACTTAAGATTGTATAGTTTTTCATTCAAGCACTTTCTATATTTATTTCACACATATATGTTCAAGTACTATATATATTACCTCATATAACCCTCACAATGTTCTTATGAATAAATATAATTGGCCACATTTTAAAAACAAGAAAACTGTGGCTTATAGACTTGAATTATCTTGTTTAGCTTTACACAAGAAACAAATATCTGTGCTTCGGTTTTTAGTACAATGCCTCATACTACTTAAAATATTTGTAAAATTAATAAATGTTTGAATAAGCAAATGCATAGATTTGAGATTTAAAACTAAATCTGCCCCAAAACCCAAATGAGAAAAAAAGTACAGTAACTGTCAAGTACCTACAAAGGGCTGTAATTAACATTACAATACAATCTCTAAATGATAATTGAGAATTGTTAATGTTATAACAATAGCATATTAATTCAAAATTTTTAAGTCATATAAAATCACTTTATATTAAATAAAATGCGTAAATTGTGAGTAAATAATCTCCTAATGGAGTGTTATGAGAATTAATCTTATCCAAAACTTAATTAATTGTGATATAAATTATGATGACTCACAATCGAATACTACACCTTTTATTTTAAATAGTTCTGAAAAATTGGAAGAAGCTATAAAATGTTACATAATTATGCCTGTTGCTAAGGAAAGAAAGGAAAATAAGACACTTGTATTCATTATGAGCCAGGGACTCAATAATCACTTAATATCTACAAAGACTGGAATGCATACGATGTATTTTAACAGCCCATATAGAGATGCGTATACATTTTTACAAACTCTGGTGAAGAATGTGGGTGAGGTTGCTAAAGGCTTATATCTTATTTGAAATCATAAAGTCCAAGATGTAAAAGTCATGTTTGTAACTGTGCTCCTTCTGTCATAATGCCAGACATTCCAGCAGGATTTGTTCCTTTGACTCATTAAATCATAAATGCCCCTAAGAGATTAATATCTCTTACATCTTAAACCTGAGAAAAGATGAAATAGGAATTGCAGGGATGTGTAAAGAGGGAAAAATACTGTAAAATAGTTGAAGAGTTTCCATAGACATGTTTTCTTCTACTTTTACATTTTGTCTAGAATATTCCACACAAATTGACAAATTAGTAAAGCTAGTCATCTTAGTGGAAAAACCAAAACAACACTCTTCTCTTTCAATAAAAGCCCCACAAAACTTTATCTTTTTGTCTAAAATGACTGCTTAAGTAACTAGAAAAATATAATCCAGTAATATAGCATAAATAGGTCTTATTTCATAATTCCAACACTTTTGAAAATGACAGTGACTTTGTGGGAATTCTTAAGACCACAAAATCAATCACTTATATAATCAGTAGTTTAAATGATTTTTGCTCAAATTAGCTTTTTATTCAGCTGTATAATGAACTATTTATTATGATAGAATGATTTAATTTGACTATTGTGGCTCTGTGTGTATATGTGTGTGGGGGGGGGGCTACTGTGTGTCAGGAAGGTGTTATGTATGTATTGTTCTATACATGTCCAGCTGCTTAAGTGCTATCTCCAGTAAGATGCCTCATAAACACCTGTAATGGTTTTCTATTGCTGCCATAACAAATTGCTCCAGATTTAGCAGCTTACAGAAGTTTATTATTTTATAGCTTGGTAGGTCAGAAGTTCAACACAAGTACCACCAGGCTAAAATTGAAGTATAGTAGGGCTCTGTTTCTTTCTGGAGGCTATAGTGAAAGATTCCTTTCCTTGCTCATTTAAGGTATTGACTTACTTCAGTTTCTTGAAGTTGTAGGAATGATATCCCTGCCTCCATTTTGGCTGTTATGTAAGGACCATTTCAGCTTCTAGAGGCCAGCCTCATTCCTTGGCTCATGGCACATTCTCTCCATTTTCAAAGCCAAAAATATTGTGGGTTAAGTTCCTCTCCTCTTTCTTCTTTTATCTCATTTCATACTGTGTATGAAGCTTAGCTACAGTCTTTGAGATACATATTGTATTAAATAACAAAGTCCAAGGTATAATGGAATTTACAAAAAAAAAAAAATCCTCATCTATTGATAATATGCTTCCACGTGTATAAAATATCTCATTCCTAACCACATTGGTTCAAGCCACCATCAACTATGGCTTACATTACTGAATTACTTCTTAATTACTTTCTTTCAGTTATTTCTTTTCAGAGAGATCATTTATAAAAGAGAAAATGTTACCAGTCCTCTGCTTAACATCATTCAATAATTTCCATTGCCCTGAGTTATATTCGAACCTTTAACATAGCCAAGAGGTTCCACATTAAATGTTGATTTCACTATGTTCCAGGATACTGCAACCTTCTCCAACCTCCAACTTTCTCCAAAAGCTTCTGCCTGGAGGGCTTCTGCTATTATCCACCAGACCAACACCCATCCACCTTTCAAATGTCAATTTAACATCACTTCTTCAAAGCTGTCTTCTCTGAATACTGAAATGTCAATTAGAACCTCTTGGTATACATGCCAATAGCTTCTATATCAGTCATTTATACCACTTTTAATAATTTTAATTATCAGTGTGATTATTTGTTTAACACTAGTCTCCCTTTTAACAATGTAAACTATGAGTATAGGGTCTGAGTTTTGGGGAGTTTTTTCCCATTGAGTGCTCAGCTCCTAGTATAGCATCTGGCACATAGTAGGAATGGATTAAAAACTTAAATATGTAAGTGAATTATATATATTAACATATAAATTAATGTATTAATACTGCTATGTACCAACTACAGAATTCTTTTTTTATTTTTTAGGCGAGGAAACCCTTCATTGACCTCACAGATTGCAAAGACCTTGTCAGCTTAAAATCTCTTATTTTTTTTATTTTTTACACCTACAGCACCTGGTCTTCCTAGGTGGTCTCCCATCCAAGTACTAACCAGGCCCAAGCCTGCTTAGCTTCTGAGATCAGACAGGATCGGGCTTGTTGAGGGCCAGAATTCTTAAAATTATTTTATTCATTACATATCTATTGTTTGGTTGTATTTTGGTTTATAGTTCTTGCTTTATCATTCTATGTGATTTTGATTGAGGATTTTAAAACAAGCACTGGGATTATTAGAACTGCATCTGGAACTCTGATCTTCTCAGCAAAACTATGGATTTTTGGTCTATGCTGAAAATATTGTTTTTTAAAAGTACATAGTAGTATTTTGTCATGATCAAAACAAAGGTATAATACAAGGAAATATTTTGTACTTTGAATAGTTCATAGAATGATAAAGAGGGACTATGCAGGTTAAGATGGCGAATGACCTTAATATGTAAAAAGAGATTGCTACATTACGGAAGTACAGATTAGGTTCAGTGCTTCTAGTAGATATGTTTTTTGATGTCGTTAACAATGGTATGTCATTTGCTCTATGCCTCAGATATCTCAACTATAAAATAAAAAGTGTGAAGTAGAATAGCAGTTTTGAATCCTTTTCCTACCATTACACATGTCAGAGATGAAATTTGCAAACACATCACAGATGATCAATTATAATAAAATAAAAAATTATAGCTATTGCATAATTCTCTGTAATCTCATTGCAATGTTTTTTTTGTTGTTGTTCTCTCTATAAAATTTTAAGTGAGTATAAAATTTTAAGTGAATAGTCATTATCATAGATATAACTTAATAACTAATATTAGAACAATACAAATGTAGTACCTACATTGGTAACAAATGACTTGGGAAAAACCTCACATTTGATTATAACAACTTGTTTGTAATCTACTGAGCTAGAGGATTGTTAGGAAACTTGACCTAATAAGAGACTGAGATATAAAAAGAACTTCAGTTTTAGAATGAACCACTTATAGTATTGCATCATGTTGATATAACCCAAACAGCAATATTAACCATATTTTGCCTTGGGAATTTCTCAATGCACATTAACACAGAGAAGTGCTACATTTAAAAATTCTCTTTAAAGGTAGGGTCGTTGAATGGGGACTTCCTCCCCCATACTTTATCTTGACAAGAGAGAGGACATTTTAGAAACAATTGCCCTGTCTCTGCTCCCTCACTCACTTGTAAGTAGTGAATTTGATAGAAAGTACTGGGTAATCACAATGCCTTCTTTAAGATCTGACTATTTATAAGAATGTCCTATGGTTTGCTTCTTTAGGTATGTAAGCTCTTTTCTTATGGGTGAGACCAAAAATTCCACAAAGAGCTGTATGGGTGAGTTAAATTTTGGGGTGCCGCATTATCCAACCCATCTGGCTCTCATACTAAGCCTTTAATATCAGTTTCACCCATCTGTCACAATCCTGTGTCTATGTCTGAAATGGTTTTGAATCTGGGAACAGTAAGAGATGTTAGTTATTGATTGATATTCTCAAACCCTGGGGATATCTATACCATCATTTCCAAACAAATTTAATTATAAATTCTTTTTATTGTTGTGTTTATGGCAGAATACTTACTAATATCTTAAATGACATAGAGTTTTTAAAATAGTGCTAGAATTCACTGAAAAATGCCAGAATTAAAGCCTCCTTATAAGTCTTCCCATGACATTTTCCATAGAATATTTTCACTTTGTGCTTCTTGTTTTCCATGATACATCACTTCAAAATGACTATCTTAAGTTCA